CACCCCAATTAGGGGTGGGGCTGACCAGCCAACTGTCCCCCGACACTGCCCCTCTCCACAGCCGCTCCATCTGAGCCTGGGGGCAAGCCAGCCAGTCCCCACCCATGCACGAATTTGTGCACCAGGCCTCTAGCATTTATATAAATATGTTGAATTAATGGCAAATTTGATATTCTGAGATCTAATAGGAATATTAATATGACCGTCAGAAACTTGGAATCTGATCCCCAGATTCAGAGGAACTCTGGAAGTAATTATTCCCAGAATTTCAGTTATAGGAAAGATGGAGTATGCACACTCCACACCTTCTCTCCTAATGAATATAATCATGACCCCTGGACAGAATGCATGGGGAAACAGAATACTTTTTAGTCTGAAAAGTAAATAACAATAGGTAGATTGGGAAAGAACATCAGAATTTTGAATACCACCAAACTCAAATATATAAATACTAACCTTAATGTATATGATCTGAACATACTCATTTAAAAACAAGAATTACCAGAATGGATAAGAAAATATAACCCAACTTTATGCCATCTACAAGAAACTCAGTTCAAATATGATGTACATCGACTAAAAGTAAAATGAGCGAAACGTATATAGGAGAGTATATACCCCATATCAAGCAAGTATCACATCATTCATCTGTACATTCATCAAATTTGTTGAAAATATAATAGGCTTAAGACATTATGCTGAATGCTTCAAGGTACTAACTCATCGTCCTAAGAGCCATACTTAAGAATTAATTATATTAATCAGGAGAATAGATAATGGAACCTGGATCAGAGGGATAGGTAGAAACGGGGAAAAACAAACCCTACAATCCAAATCTTGAGGTAGCTTTTGATCCATAAAGGCAAAGTTTCCACCCATTCACCAAGATTTCCAAGCAAAGTAGTTGGTGGAAATAAATTGGGAAGAGCAAAAACAGTTGAATAAAGGATATAGTATCTTTTATTGGGTTGTATACCCTTCTTTTAAATAAGCACAATTAACAAAACCAAAGTAGAATATACACTAATCCATTATCGTTGCCTGGAAAGTAATATTCTAATTGGGAAAGAAGTTAAGACAAGGTTAGACATTCTAACTGCCGGGGGGGAGGGAGGGGGCGAGGGAGGAGAGGGTATTACATGTATTTTCTATTCTATTTTTGGTTAAACCTAATCTTTTCTTTAATGTAGCAGTGTTTTTTTTATCTTTTCTACCCATCCCATGCTGATCCAGGGACCGTCATCTGGTTTTCTGACTAATATCATGCACTTTTAAATGTGTCTTTCAAGATTATGAGTTAGTTCCTCAAAGTGTGCAGAACATAAAATCATGCCTTAAACTTAGATTTTTAATAATATTTGATGAATGAATGCATAAATGAATATTTATTTGATGTGATACATGCTTCCTTCCCTATTGGGATTTGTAGATTCCAGCAACATTAAGTAATATATTGCTACAATCCTAGAAGAAGAGTAGAAAACATTTCCAGAGTACTTATTACATGCCATACACTGTTCTAAGTACTTCATGAATATAAACTGGCTTATAATTTCAATCAAACATGAAAGTTATTATTACTAGCCATGCTTTTCAGATGAGGAAGTGGAAGCATGGAGAGGTTTGATCACTTGCCAGACCCAAAAGACTGAATATTAAATGATTCCATTTATATGGAATGCTAGAAAGAACAAATCCATAGAGACAGAAAGCAAATCAGAAGTTGCCCGAGACTGGAGTACGAACAGTGTTATCAGAGCAGTGCTTAGAAAAAAGTAAGTACTCAATAAGGATCAGCTGCTGATATTATGTAGGATTGTTTGCTGGAAAGGTATACAACTGAACCTAAGCAATGCCCATCATGAACTTACTGTCCTCCATTGAACTTGATACTTCTCAACCCATATCATGCTCTTTTTCAATG